CGATTGGCTTTGTTACACTGATCACATTGCCATAGAAATTTTGCCAGATTTCGACTCGCTTCTTTATCATTAGTATTATCTTTCTTGCTTTTATAAATATTGTTATCATTGCTGTTATTATTAATGTCATTATTCCGTTTTCATCTTCCTCTCTTTTTCTCTCTCTCCTTTCCTGACATCCTTTCTATTCTTCCTTCCTTCTTTTTCTCCCTGTATCTGTTCTCTACATCCATTTCTCTCGCCTCTTCCTTTCTTCTCTCTCTCTCTCATTTCTCTTTTTCTCCTGTTTCTTCCATTCCCTTTCCCTCCTTTCTCTTTTCTCCTACTCTTTCCTCTTCCTCTGTTTTCATTCTACTTTGTCTTCTTCCCTCTTTTTTCTACCTCCTCTTCTTCCATCTCACTGATATTCTCTATTTATCCCTTCTTTTCTTATTATTCTTCCCTCTTCATTTGTCTTTTCTCTTCCTTTCTTTTTTAACTCTCCCTCTTCCTTTATTTGTTCTCTTCCTTTCTTTATTATTATCATTATTGTTATTATTATTATTATTAATAATATTGTCATGTTTATAGAACTGCAATGATCATGCCTAAATCATTTTTTAAATTATATTAGCATTTTTATTTTTATTATTATTATTTTTATGATCATCTTTATTATTCTACTATCAATATTGTCATTCTTATTATTGTTATTATGGTTATTATTATTATTATTATAATCGTAATGATATGATTCTCATGATCGTTCATTTAAAAATGAGAATTTCTTTATTTTCATTTCATTTATGGAACGAAACATCTCGAGAAGAAATTGACTAATTGGTACCTTCCACAAACTCACGCATTATTTGTTAGGAAAAAAAGGGGTTTGCATTCCATTATTTTGCATGTTGATGGCACCTTGTGACTGTTCTCTTCATATCCAGTGGTGTTCATGCTAATTGGTGGCCTGAGCTTCTGTATTCTGTGCTTATGAACGTCATTTTCTGTCATTGAGAGCGTGGGTTTTTGACGGGAGTTGCCAATTAGTCAATTTCCCAGAGCCGAATGATTTGTGTGTGTGCCCTCCTCCTCCCTCCCTCGCTCTTACTATTCTCTCTCTCTCCTCTTCCTCTTTTTTTTTTTTTTTTGGGGGGGGGGAGGGTGCCAATTAGTTAATTTCCGAGAGTCAATATTTGTACCCGAGATATTTAGGGAACAATTGCCAAATGATTTGTGCGTGTGTATGTGTGTTTGTATCTGTGTTTGTGTATGTGCGGGAATGTTTATGTGTGTGTTTGTGTTTCTGTGAGTGTGTGCTTGCGTGTGTTAGTGTTTTTGTGTATGTATGTGTGTGTGTTTGTGTTTTTGTGTTTGTTTTTCTGTGTGTGCGTGTGTGCTTATTTTTGTGTTTGTGTGTGAGTTTGTGTTTATGTGTTTGAGTGTGTGTGTGTGTGTGTGGAGAGGGAAACTCTAGGCCAGGTACATATATATATATACACAAACATAAATATATATATCTGCATATATATATATTATATATATACATGTGTACATTAATATATATGTACGTTTGTACATGTATAGATACATACTTAGCGAGATGGTGGGAGAGAGAAAGTGAGTCATAGAAAAAATATGTATATATGTGTATATGTATATATACATACAAAGATACATGCACAGACACACACACACACAGACATACATATATATATATACACATATAAGCATGCAAAATAACATTGGTAAAGATGACCGTTCATTTGTCTTGCAGCGCCATCTGTTAAATCATAAAAGAATAAAATGGTGATAACCAGATTTCGACTTTTCTATATGTAAAATCAATATGATTTTGAGGTAGGCATTGTGTAAAAGAAAATGTTTCAAAATGGTTCCTATATATATAATCCTGTTTCCTTACTTCTTATTCTTCTGCCTCCCCCCCCCCCCCATTTCTCCTTCCCTCCTCTTTCCTCTTCCTCTATTCCACCCTCCTCTCTTTCTTTCATTACTTCTTTCTTCTGTCTCCGTTCCTTCTTTTTTTTTTCCTCTCTTTGCTATTTTCTCTTTATCACTTCTCTTCCACTCTTTCCTTTTCGCTGCTGATATTATTATTATTACTATTACTATTTATTTTATTTTTATTATTATCATAGCATTATAATCCCCATCATCCCATGAGGCACAATAAATTCGGAAAAAATGACTAGTTGGCATCCCTCCACCATCCATTATTAGTAAAAGAAAAAAAAAAAAAGAAATAAGATAATTATTTTGCATATGTTTGGCACCTTGTGAGTGTTCTCTTCACATGTTTATGCTAATTGGTCGTCCGAGCTTTTGCATTCTGTACTTATGACGATTATTTTTCTCATTATCCCTTCTCCTATTATTCCCTTATTTCCTCTTCCTTTCATCCCCATCAGCCTATTTCCCATCCTCACCTTCACCTCCATTTCCACCCTCCTTCCCATCACCCATGAACACGACACTTAATAGAAGCTTCTTCCTCCGGCAGGCCAAGAGACCCCCCTTCACAAGGCTGCCAAGGAGGGTCATCAGACTGTGGTGGAAGTCCTCGTGGCGGCGGGCGCTGACCTCAACGCCAGAGACTGCTGGGGTAAGGCGACGGGATCAACGTTTTTTTTTCTTACTGTTATTATTAACTGTAATGTTATTATCTTTTAATCATTATCAGTTTGGTCATTATCACTGAAAATAATTATGATAATAATAGCAAGAAAATTGTAAAATCAATGTGATCATTATTGTTACTATTATTAACATTAATATTGTTTTTTATTTCCATGATTGTTATTATTATTATTGTTGTTGTTATTACTGTTGATATATATATATTATCATAGTATTATATTCATCATCCCTTAAAACACAAAACCAATTTAATGAAAAAAAAAAATGCATTTCTTTATCTCCATTTCCTTTGGCAAGAAGAAATATTGTCTTGGGAAAATTGACTAATTGGCACCTTCTGCCTAACTGCCACGCTATTTGTGAGAAAAGAAAAATAGTTTGCATGCCATTATTCTGCATATGGATGGCGCCTTGTGACTGTTCTCTTCACACTCAGTGTTTATACTAATTGGTGGTCTGAGATTTTGAACGCCATTTTTCTGTCACTCAAGGTATGGGGTTTTATTGGGTGTTGCCAGTTAGTCAATTTCTCAGAGCCGATATTTGTTTCTGAGATATATAGGACATAATTGCCAAATGATATGATTTGTGTGTGCATGCGTGTGTGCGCATGTGCATGTATGTTTGTGTGTATGTGTGTGCATGTATGTGTGTGTACGCCTGTGAGTGTGTGTGTGTATGTGTGTGTGCATGTAATGTGTCTGCTTGTATGTGTGTGTATGCGTTTATGTGTGTGCCTGTATGTATGTGTGTGCGTGTATGTCTGTGTACGCCTATGAGTGTGTGTGTGCGTGTATGTCTGTGTATGCCTGTGAGTGTGTGTGCGTGTATGTGTGTGCATGTATGTCTGTGTATGCCTGTGAGTGTGTGTGTATGTGTGTGTGTATGCCTGTTAGTTTATGTATGTGTACGCCTATGAGTGTGTGTTTGTGGGTACGCCTGTGAGTGTTTGTTTGCGTGTGTGTGTACGCCTATGAGTGTGTGTGTGTGTGTGTGTACGCTTGTGAGTGTGTGTATGAAGAAGAAAACTCTAGGCCATTTTTTTTTTCTTTCCCTTTCTCTCTCTTCCTTTTTTCTCTCTTGTGTGTGTGCGTACCTGTATGTATTTGTTTGTGTGTGTATGTGTGTCTCCCTCCCTTTTTCTTCCTTTTTCCTCTTTTCCTATTCTCTGTCTTC